CGGAAGCAGTTGAGGAATATGATGTCTAAAGAGCTGCCGTTGTCGATGAGAACCCCTCTGACTTTATAGTTGGAGAGGAGGGCAGAAATGACGAGAGGGTCATCATGAGGTTAACGGATGCCTGTACAGTTGGCGTCCGTGAAGGTGATGAGCTCTGTCCACTACTTGGGCTGTTTAGAGGGTCGGTCTACCGTGGCAACTGCTCTGTCCGAGCCTTGCCTTATCTTCCTGAGCTCTACCCTCTGAGCGGAGCGGGATGGTCCGCCATAAGCAAGGCCACCTGAAATGACTCGGATTTCACCAACTGGCGGAGGGGGATTACCTGGCGGCCAAGGCTGTTGTGGGGGGCGATCATGGCCTTGGTTAGGTTGGGCTGGCTGCCGGGGTGGGGTACGCCGGCGGTTGTTTCTGAGGGGCTCGGTTCTTTGCCTCTGCAGTGGGCGGGTGTCCGTGAACCGGCTGAGACGCCCTTGACGAATGAGGGTCTCAACCTGATCCTTGAGGTTGATGCAGTCATCAGTGTTATGGCCATGGTCCTGGTGGAAACGACAATATTTGGACTGGTCTTTCTTATTGGAAGGGGTTCGTGAGGGTAGGGGCCATTTAAGGGGGTAGTCATGTTGGATCTGGTGGAGGACTTGTTCCATAGGAGAATTAAGGGGCGTGTACCGCTCGAACCGATCGGGCGGTCGGGCTGGTGCCGATCGGTCAGTGCGAGGAGGTCAGTCGGTATAGTGGGGTGTTTGGCTGTTATACTAGGTGTTTCTGGGTTCTGAGTCTTTTCTCTTTTCTCTAGGGGTCTGATTTTTAGATATTGGATCCTACCGAGCGGCTAGTGAATCTTCAACATTCATGTATTTCTAGGCTTTGGAGAGTCGGGCTGCCATGGAGGTCCGGGGGCTTTTGGAGAGGGAGAAGAGGAAATCGGATGATCGTAGCCTGGCCATGAAAGCCATGAGGATGACCTTGTCATCGTTTTCTGCTACTTGCAGCGCTTCGGTGTTGAAGTGGGTAACGAAACTGCGCAGCGACTCCCCCTCGGTCTGACGGATGTTGAGGAGTTGGGTTGCAGGGCGGCGTTGGCGCTGGGCTCCAATGAAATGGCTGAGGAAGGAGTCGCTGAGATGCTGGAAAGTGGAGACAGAGTCTGCTGGTAACTGGCTGAACCACAGTCGAGCTGACCCCTTCAGTGTCACGGGGTAAGCCCGGCACATGATCTCGTCAGGGAAGGCATGGAGGATCATGAGGGTACAGTAGGTCTCCAGATGGTCGACTGGGTCCGTCGTACCATCAAAAGAGTCAATGGTGGGCATATTGAACTTGGCGGGTAGAGGTTTGTCCCGGATGGAGGCAACAAATGGTGAGCTTGCCGTGGTAGAGGGTTTATGCTGAATGTTCTGCATGACCCCTTGGAGCTGGAGCTTCATTGCTCGGAGTTCAGCGTCCCAGAGGGGAATGTGGTCACCATGGTCAGTCAATGGGGGCTGGATGCTGCTGGCTTCCCCTTCAAGGCCTGGTGCCACGACTGAAGGGTGTGGAGGTGGTGGTGGTAGATTTATATGCGGGGGAGGAGGTTGCAAACCTTCCACATTGGGTGGATAGGGTTGTGGAACAATATGGCTCGGTGCTCTTTCTTGGTTGGGTGGAATATCTGGAGGTGGTGGAGGAGGCATCGGAAGGTTTCTTTGGAGTAAAGCATTTATCAGGGGCTAGTTTTGTTCGGCCATGCGGTTAATGCTGTTGGTAAGCTCAATGATATACTGTGGTGGGTTTTTTGGATTGGGAGGGTCGGTTTGATGGTCGGCAGCATTATGGTGAGAAGCCATGGATCTAGTCGTGACCATACACTTGGATGGGTAGAAGGAAAAGGTTGTTAGGACAGGGTTTCCGGCGACAATGAGCACAACTGATGATACTGTTCATTCCAGTGAATGGATCAGACTGGTCCAAGCTCCTCAAGCCCACGTCCAAATGATCAAGCCCACCGGATAACCTACAAACAAGTTCAACGGGGAACTGGGTAGTCCCCCAGTGAACCCTCCGATGAGCAAGTTAGGGAGAGAAGTAGAGTGTAGAGAGAGATTAGAGATAGAAAAGCTTAACCTTCTTCTTGTCTTCAACGTTTGCTTATATCCTTTGGTAATCATTTCGTTGTCCCTTCTGACCTGCCCTCCTCGCCGAAAGTCTATGTTGTAGCTTACCTTGTTCAAGGTAAAGGGGTCCTGTTCCGACAGAGAGGTGTTGTCGTAATAAATGCTGTGATGGGTTGCATTAATGGTGATGTGCAGTGGCAATAACTTTGCAGATCTTTGTCTGCTGATGTGGCTCGTCCTTCACTTGCCGTGTATCTAAATGTCATTGGCTCTTTATGCCATGTTGGACTCCAGCTGTCCTGGACCTCACCAGCTGGGTTATGTATTCGGCTCCAAGTGATGGGCTTGGATTGTTCATAGTGATTCGTGGCCATTATGGGCTTATACACGTCACTATCAAATTTAATTGCACATGATCCACAAACATAAACTAAAGAGGGTGGAAATGTGATAGGGCAGATTTTGAGAAGCAAAATTACTAAGCTTTTGTTTGGCAATGACTTTTTTAGTTGGCTTTTTGGTTTTTTTAACTTTTTTAACCTGAGACTTTTTTGTTCGTTTGGTATTCTTGATTGGCTTTTTTGACTTTTTAACTTTGGAATGGTAGATTTCTTTTGTCCTTTTGTGATTTTTGACTTTTTGTGATTTTTTAACTTTTTTTTGTCCTTTTATAATTATTTAGCCTAACATGAAAGCCAAACAACCCCTAAGCGTCCTTAATTTATTTACTTTTGTTTTTTTCTTTCTCATTTTGTAGGCTTTCTTTGTTTTTCCTTCCCTCACATGCCAGTGCCACAGCCACTTCAACGCACCGCTATCTTCTGCCACTAATCGCATCATCCCAAACAACTCACACCATCAATCCCACTATTTTAGAAAGATTGTTAAAAGTTAATTTTTTTTATTTTTTAAAAAATATATAAAAAATATGAGAGATAATATAATCTAAAATGAATTAAAAACTAAAAGATGATTTTTAACCATCTTTTCAAAATAGCCATAGCCAACCCCATCATCACCGCCCAATGTAACCCATAGTGCTCTCGACCAGCGGTAGAGGACTGAAGCTTATGGCAGCCACGATGCAAAAAAATTCTTCTATGGTGGTGATGATGATTGAGATCTTGAAAAATCTATTAAAACTTTTATACACATGTATACATAAGCATTTATGTACAAACATGTTCAATTTTAGACAAAGAAATTGAAAAAAGAGTGGATAGAGAGCATGTTGGAAGAGAAATTAATGGTTTTATTTTATAAAAACAGTGAAAGAATAGTTGGAGGAACAAATGAGGAAGAAAGTGAAAGGTTTGCACTGTGTTAAAAAAGAGCCTGGGTTGTTAATTTTGCAGAGAGAGAAAGTGGAAAGAAGTGGCACTGAGATGAAAATTTAATAAAATAGTAAGGGTAATATAGATTTTTTCTTTATAAAAATCATTAACAGGGTTAGTCATTACATAGAACACTACAAGAATTTACACAATTGCCGACCACTTTTGCCGACCAAAAAAATTTTGGTCGCAAAAAAATGACATTTGGCGACCAAATATTAATTAGTCGCGAATGATCATTATTTTTGGCGACCAAATATTATTGGTCGCAAAAGGTTATATTTTGGCGACCAAAAAATGAGTTGGTCGCAGAAAGTGGTATGCTTTTGCCGACCAACTATAAATTTGGTCGCGGAAGGTCACATATTTTTGGGCGACCAAAAATTTGGTCGCCAAAAACTTATTTTCAACAACCAAAAAATATTGGGCGCCAAATTAGTACATTTAGCGACTAATATTTTAGTCGCCATTGATTGAGATTTGGCGACTACAAAAATTTGTCGGCGAAGGTACCTTTTCTGCGACTAATATGATATTTGGTCGCCAAAAGTTTGGAAAGGAAATTTGAAACGTAGAGGTGGGAATTAGGACTGGGCATAGGGTCATTCGACCCGCACAATCCGCCCGACCCGACCCTACCCGTACACGTATGGGCGGTTTTGCAAATATAATAGGGTAGGATGCGGTTTGAAATATTTCTATTTTTCGGATTGCGGACGGGTTCACCCGACCAACCCCCGCGCATAACTTTTTTTATTTTTTATTTTTTTTCCCAGAAGATCTGGACCGTTCACTTCACTTCATCTATACCCAAACAAAACGAAGAAAGGAAAAAAAACCCTACACTCAAAAACACATTACGCAGCTCTCATCTCACACTCTCTCTCGTTTTTCAGTCTCTCACTCTCATCTCACTCTCATCTGATCAGTCTCTCATACTCACTCTCTCACTCTCATCTCATCACTCATCTCGGCCGATCAACCTTGCAAGAGATCGACTCTCACTCATCACAAGATTGACCGATCGGCCTCATACTCTCATCGCACCGATCGGCCTCCCAGGTACGGATCTCTATGTCACTGTCTCTGTCTCTCTTTCCTCTCCGATCTCTGATTTTTTTGTGTTATTCAGATGTGTGTCACTCTGTGTGACTAAGATTGTTTGTCAATGGTGACTTTTTGTTTATTTCTGTGTCAATGGTGATTTTTTTTTTTTTTAGATCTGTGACTCTTAGTTTATTTGTTCATTTCTGATTGTGTGTTATGTGTCAATGGTGAGGACTTTGATAGGGGAGTCGATGATATTCATACTCCAAGACAGTGTATAGTATGGAAAATGAATAAGAATACTCATATTTACCCAGAATATGTTGTTAGCTTCAAGGTCTCTTCTGATCTGAATCTGTTAGTGATTTTGGAATCTGAATCTGTATAAATTAAATCTGAATCTATAATTTTGTTTGATCTGAATCTGTTAGTAATTAAATCTGAATCTGTTGGAATTATTTTTTGATTTAATTTGATTCAATTTGTTAACTTTTGATTATAGTGTTGTAAGATATATATGATTCTATTCAATTTCTTATATAGTCATGTGAGCACATAAAGGTGAAAGATGTAGGTATAGATATAGATATAACTGGTTTCATTTGACTTTGAAGATGATTCATGCATTTACTAGTTTTTATTTTTTTATTTTTTATTTTATTTTAATTCTGATTTCCAAATTCCAAGTTGGGAAATTGTGATGGCAGGTTTTGGTGGTTAGACAAGACCTGAAGATGAAAGTATGAAAGATTGCGTCCCAATGTGCTCGTAAGATATATTTCACTCTTAACAATGTTTAAGGTTTTGCCTTTGATTGCACTTTGTATCACTCTACGATCTCTGTGCATTGTTCGTTTCACATTTATTTGACTAATTATTTATTTTTAAACCTGCAGATGCTGCTACTGGGATGTATTCAGAACTGATGCAAAGTTATGACAATGCTAAACACAGGATTACTTCATTTATTCAAGCCCTGAAATTTACTTTGATTCTAATAGTTTCTTTCCTCTCTCATTCTCTTTAATAATTAACATCCTTAATGGCAAAAACAATCTTTTGAGGAGGAACCAAACTTTGTTGCTTGCTGTAGCTGTTCAAAATAAAGATTGACAAAATGGGAAAGAAAAAAAAAGGTTTAAAAATCTAAGTGGCATAATGAAATGGCATAATGAAATAATCTAAGTGGCACTGCACTGCACGAAACAATCTAAGTGGCATAATGAAATATGTTTCCTTTCATAATATCTCTAACTAATCAAGTTTGTTCAACACTTTGTTGCTGAATTTGTGAGTATTATTTATTTTTATTCACAGTTAAATGTTCAAGGAATTCAAGTCACTGAATAATTTCTTGGAATTATCTGCTTTTGGGAGATAATTAAGAGTAACTTTAACTTTAGTATGTTGGCTTAAAAAGACTCGAGAATTGATAAGAGTTATAGTGATTGTTTATTTAATGAGACTGCTTTGTTCTGTAGATTGTCATTTCTAATCTATCAAAACTGTAGGCTGAGTTTTGTGGGATCTTAGGAAGGCAGGAGTGCCTTTGGCTTACCTAATGGACCACATTTAGGTATGGGTTCAAGGGAAATACACGAAATAAGGGTTATGTTTTTACCATTTAGTTGATTGTTATACTATGTGCTAAGATCTTCACTGTGTTCCTATCTATGTCTAGTCTGTTTTCCTCATTCTCTACGGCTAATTTCATAACTAATGAAACTTATTAATAATTATAAGGTGCAGTGAATTTTGAAAATTTAACTACCATCAAGCTGTAGTTTGTTTTATGGTGGGCTGAATTGTTCTTATGGTCAGTAGATGTCGCCAACGATGAAACAATCCTCCCCATCAAGTATTAGTTTTGCATGTCGTATCACTATACTTTTCATATAATAGACATATTTTTATAAGTCAAATAGTGAAATTAATATTACTAACTTCAAAATTAAAGTTCTAACTTTAAAAACTGTTAGCTAAAATAATGTTGTAATTATTAATGTTTAGGTTATTCTGGTACAAGCAATAAATTATCTAAGGACAATAAAATTTGATACAGAATGACTATTAGAGTAAAGCTTAGTAATTTTTAGTTTTGTTGAATGTTGACTATTTTGCATTTGGAATGATATGTGGCTTTTATGGCTTTGAGAATTCTTCTACAATTTACCTGTGTTCTTTCATTTTGCTTTTGGTCAAGTTTGAATTATTAGTTTATCTATTTCTTACGAAAAAGGTGCGCCTCACCTTGCGCCTACGCCTGAATCTGGCGCGTTGGTGTGCCTTGAGCATTTAAAATCACTGGACAGCCACTATGGATAATGACTGCATGAATATAACTTTTTCTTCTCTAAAAGGTTAACTTAGTTTAAGTCAAAGTAAACAATTTCCAAAAATCAGATGTTTCTTGGGTTTATTTCTGTGTGTTGTATATTTCAGTACTCCCTAGTCTAATTACATCGTGTGGTTTAAATCTATTTTCTATGAATTACTTGGTAATTACAATGTATGTTGTTTATTTTGTGTGGTACAATTTCATATATTTTTGGATCTTCAAAAGTAAGATCTGTATCTACCACTGAAGTTGCATTTCCTCAAAAGTGAACTGTTTGTGTTCTCTGTATTTTCTTTAATAATTGAGACTTGTCTGGTTTTCAGCCTGAAAATTGATTGGTTCTTTTCAAAAAATTCATTATATCATACTATTTCATATGCCTATCCTGGTTAATGAATGGAAAAAAAAGTACTTTTGCATGCATTCCTTAGTTTTTGAGTTAACGATGATCGGATTAGATTTATGGTTGGGTTTTACATCTGATTTGAATTCATCATTGCTTGATTGTAATTAGTCGATCGGGTGCATTGGAATTGAAAAAAGTGAATCACACTAGGCATTTTAACTAACAAGTATTATATGCCTAGTGCATTGGAGATGCTCTTAGTACATTATGTATGTGGTTTGAATATAAATTTTTGAATAAAAGTCAAACGTTTCGACATAAATTTATGAACAAAAAGAGTTGTTAAGATATAATCAATTGAACAAAATTATAACAATTCATTTTTGTTTATAAGTTTATGTCCGGACATTTGATTTTTATTTAAAAATTTATATCCAAACAATAGAAATAGTGTGCATTGAAATTTTTTGTGATTTGTGAGTGGATTTCTCAATTCGAAGGGACCAAGGAGAGACGGGCTACGGTATATATGGGAAGTAAATTGCCAGAGATGTTTCTATTTTATTTTTTTGGGGGGGGGTCTTAATTTGATCAAAATCATTAGATTATTTGAAAATTTTAAAATATGATCAAATGCTTACAAATAAACCAAGAGAGAAATAAATTTGAAACAGATGATTGTGGTAAGTATCAATAATCCAGAAACACAAAAACTAAACATGTATCCGGATATAAAAGGAAAACAAACAGATGAATTTGATTTTTGAGAATTGGACCCTATGAATAAATCTTATAAAATTTTATCTATTCATATGTTTTTTGTATCCAATGTTATGCTTGGTTTATGTGTTTTTAGCATTGTTGATTAAGCATGGGCTTGCCAAACTAAAAAAGATATTATCTGGCTGTGTATATGGGTTAGGAAATGCAATGCAAAGCAAGTCATTGGTTCTTGTGATGAATAGCTATGTTAATAAATAAATGTAGTCTGTTTTTAGAAATGGAGGAGCTCAAGCAACAACAGTGTACATGGCACGCAAATGGCATGTGGATATTGAAGAAGATATGAAGATGAAGACAAAGAAGATTTACATTACATTAAAAGAAAGTAGAACTTCTGCATGAGGGAGAAGATATCAACTTTTTTTATGAGTTAACGATGATCGGATTAGATTTATGGTTGGGTTTTACATCTGATTTGAATTCATCATTGCTTGATTGTAATTAGTCGATCGGATTTATGTAGTCTTGAAATCATCTTTGGCTTTGTTAATTGCTGCTTATAAATAAATATATTAATGCTTGTTTCTGTTTTAGCTACATTCGCTTTCATGTTACTTTGTGTGGACAAAACAAAATCTTGGAAGCATAGAACATAGAGTTTGTAGATGTATCTGTGTATTTTTGCCTAAAACAGTATATCTTCTTTAACATCAATTGCTTTGTTGGTTCTCAATCTTTATTTCTTTCTTATTTGGAAGGATCTTCTATGTGTTAGAAACTGTGTGTTAAATTGATATTTTTTCCTCTTTTTTGGTGGATAAGATTCACTTTTTGTCACTGTCAGGGCATCTGATGTTGTGTGTTTTTTATTTTTTGGTTCAGTTTTAGTAATTTATTTGTTTTTCCCCGTTTTGTTGCCTTTTTCTTTTTCGTATTGGGATGTGATTTGTATGATATGGAAACAATTCTCTTGTAAAAGTATTTGTGCTTCATAGGTTATACTGGAGGAGCTTAATGCCATGTTTCTTCTTTGTTGTGTTAACTCTTACATAATAAGCTTCTAATTGTCTGATTATTGATTTATAGGAAAGTCATTCTTTTTAAGATTACAGGCTACCATGCAACCTCGGGATTGAGCCCAAAGGATGAGAATGTATTTGATTTGATTTGATTTGAAACATATGCACTATGTATTTTGCCGATACTAAACATAGTAACATGTTTTGTATCCTGTTCTTAATTTCTACCTTCCATGATTGAATTCACAGAAGCAATCCTGTTTTGAGGTTGAACAAGCGGAAGATGCAGCCAGCAATAAGAAGGTGATGTAATCTTGATTGTGTTATTTCAGATCCCATAGTCTTTGTGCAATTTGTCTTCTGAGGAGGTGCATTTCACAAGGCTCATGATTGATCTGCCATTACATTGGACTTGGTTAACAAGTTATATACTCTTTTTTTTTTTTGAAGGAAATTAAATTTGGATTTTAATTAAATGAATGGCAATGTACAAAATTTAGCACTACATTTGACTTTGGGGGTACAAATAATTGTTTGATGTGGTGGCATCATTAACCAAGGTTGTTCACTTAAAATTTTTCTTTCTTTTCCTTTTTTTTAATTTTATTTCCCCTTTTCTGGGTGGAAAGAACATATCTACTCTTATATATGTCTTAGTGATAATCTTTTCTAATTTTATTTCTAGTTCTAATGCTAAGAAGTGTCCTGGTACAGGCAGATAAGAAAGATGTGGTTGGTCTGCAGGAACAGGTAATGTCAAATTCTTATAGTACTTCACTTCTAGGATTTGTCAATGGATTCTTGGTATGGGAACTGACTAACCTGTGGGGCCTTCAGGCTTTTGTTAGAAAAGTTATCGAGCTTCATGACAAGTACATGGCGTACGTAAATAACTGTTTTATGAACCATACTCTTTTCCACAAGGTTTGTATTAAACAATTGCTGCATAGTCGTGGTTTCCTTCCTATTATTCATGTATTAAAATCTCCTTTGTTTGCCTTAGGCGCTCAAAGAGGCTTTTGAAGTCTTCTGTAACAAAGGTGTTGGTGGAAGCTCGAGTGTAAAACTACTAGCCACATTTTGTGATAATATTCTTACGAAAGGTGGAGTGAGAAATTGAGTGATGAAGCCATTGAGGAAACACTTGAGAAGGTATGCTTCTATCTTTCATAGCATTTGCTTTGACTTATTGTTGAGAATGAGATACAAACAGTTGCAATTGGATTTCTTTTTATTCTACAGGTAGTAAAGCTCCTTGCTTATATTAGTGATAAGGATCTGTTCACTGAATTCTACCGGTAATTTTATTTAATTTTTTGTTGGTTTTCAAGTGATTGCATAATATTGTGATTCGATGATTCATAGATACTTATTTTTTGTTGCAATGACTGGCAGAAAAAAGCTTGCTCGACGCTTACTTTTTGACAAGAGTGCCAATGATGAGCAGGAGAGAAGTATCCTGACAAAGCTGAAGCAGCAGTGTGGTGGTCAGTTCACATCAAAGATGGAGGGAATGGTGAGTTGTCTACAACCTGTATTAATTTGCAAGCCATGCTTTAATGTAGTTTTGGGATACTGGCAGAAATAATTGTTTTCTTGCTTTGCTGTTTTCCAGGTGACAGATTTGACTTTGGCAAGGAAAAATCAAACTAACTTTGAAGAGTACCTCAAAACCAATCCAGATGCAAGTCCTGGGATTGACCTGACTGTTACTGTCCTAACTACTGGCTTTTGGCCTGGTTACAAGTCTTTTGACCTCAACCTCCCAGCAGAGATGGTAATGCTTGTAGATTTTTATTCGCACATAGATTGAAATTTTGAAATTGTTTCTTTTAATGTGAATTTATGTCATATGCTGTGTTTCTGAACATTCCCACTGACGTCATTCTATTTATTCACTTCTGCTCTAGGTTAAGTGTGTGCAAGTTTTCAGAGAATTCTATCAAACAAAAACAAAACACAGAAAACTTACATGGATTTATTCATTGGGTACTTGTAACCTCAATGGAAAATTTGAACCCAAAAGACAAAAAAAGTCTGTCTTGAACTTAAAAAAGTAACTAAAAAAAGGTAAAAAATCCAACATTTCTACTAATAAAAAAGAATATTTTTTAGTAATTACCAGCCGCATCAGCTTTTTAAGGTTCTAGAAAAGCAAATAAGCAACTAAAAAAACAATTGCTAAATTCGACCTTAGTAGCATAAACTCCTATGGGGGCCTCACTCCTTCCTCTACAAGCTTGTTAACACCACCATGCTCACTCTTAACCTTAAAACTCCTCTATAGGCCCCTCGCTCCAGGATTAACAACCCTGTTTCTGGATTAACATAGATTTCCAGGATTAACAACCCTATTTCTGGATGTTCTACTATTTTGTTCCTGGTTGTTTCTTATTTTAGGGTTGTTTATAGCTCCAATTGGTATCAAACTCTAAACTCATCGGCATTGTTCTTTTACTTCAATCTATTGGTTGTTGTGTTGCCATTCCCTTTGATTTTTGTTTTGATATTGACTTTCAGTGGAGTTATTTGGTGCTCTTAGAGGGCGCCTATATGACAGCAACAAAAATTTGATAATGGCAACTCTCTCTGCTATTGGTGCTGTTACATCTGCAATGGGACTTGCAGTTGAGAAGTCTAGCAAGGTTGTTTGCTCTAAACCTAAATTTCCTTCTAACTTTGTATTCTATTGTCCTTTAAATTTGACTTTAATATTGGGAAGTTGTTTATTGCAGGGTATACTGTCAGATGTTTTGAAATGCCTTGGTGACAATAACAAGCATATGAGAGAAAGCACTCTGACTACTTTAGATGCTTGGCTTGCTGCTGTTCATCTCGAGAAATAGTTATGTTTCAAATTGTTATGCTAGATGTGACTTGTGAATGAAAACTTAGAATAGTTGTATTGTGTCGAATGTTAATGAATTATGTATTGTGTCGAATGTTAATGATTCAGTTAATTTGAATGATGTTTTAAAATTATAGGTTTATTATGGATTGAATGAATTATTAGGAATTGCAGGTGTATTTTTTTCTTGCTTTGGCGACCAATTTATTAGTCGCGACAAATAAATAATTTTTTTTCGTAAAAAATGACAATTGCCGACCAAGAGTTTTGGTCGCAAAAAATACATTTATTGCCGACCAAAACAGCTCTTGGTCGTAGAAACTCACTTTTGCCGACCAAAAGTTTTGGTCGCGAAAAGTAACAAATGGCGACCAAACCTTTTGGTCGCGGAATGTCACGATTGGCGACCAAACGTTTTGGTCGCGGAATGTCACGATTGGCGACCAAGCTTTTTTGGTCGCGGAATGTCACAATTGGCGACCAAACTTTTTGGTCGTTGAATGTGATAATTGGCGACCAAACTTTTTGGTCGGGAAAATATCACTTTTCGCGACCAAAGTGTTTCAGCGACTAAATGAATTAGTCGCAGTAATGATATATTTCGCGACCAAAAATTTAGTCGGCAAATCCGACTTTTCCCGACCAACCAAAATTTTGGTTGCGAATTACTTTTGCCGACCCTCAATTGGCAACCAAAATAGCGACCAAAAAAATTGGTCGCGGATAATTTTTGCCGACCAAAAATGGGCTTTTAGTGACCAATTTTTTGGTCGGCAAAAGTGTTAATTCTTGTAGTGGAAGTAGAAATCACCCTGGGTTATGTGTTCAATTTTAAAGGAATAAAGTGTAATTAACCCATAAATTTAATAGTATCTCGTTATTTATTGTGGTTTTTTCTTCAATGATGTAAATAATATGTGCCTCTTTATCTTAAATCTCTGACTCTACCACTATAATTAGCCTTTGTTTGGAATGTAAATTGACTTTTTAGTTTTTTGACTTTTCTTAGCGTGAGACTAAAAAGTCTCGTTAGGGATAAGATTTTTGACTTTTTTTATTTTTATGAAAAAAAAATAAAATATTATAATTTAAATGTGACATTTTATTAACTTTTTAATTTTTTTTATTTTTTTTATAACTATCTTAAATAAAAAAATTTATTCCAAACATAACCTTAATGATGTATTTGTATTCTTTAATTAGCGATATTATCAAGGCATCCAAATTTCTTGTCCGGTTGGCTGGCAATGGCATCCCCCACGTTCTCCACTACCTCCACCAGCTATGTATCATCCTTTTTGTATAAGGAACGGAGATGTGATATTTTTTTATTTTTTATTTTTATTTTTTATCTTTTTAAAATTTTGAGCCATTTGGTTTCTCACTGGGATATCTCTTTCCCCATCTGTCTCTTTTGTTGACAAATTCTTATAATATACTATCTATCCAGGAAATTAAGAAAGTGATTTATATATGTTAGAAAGAAACCTCTTGACTTCGCTTATGCCATTATGCAGTAAAGAAAGCAAGTGAGGCGGGCTAAGATTTCACTGGAAGTAATGTAGGGGAATTTGATCTTGCATCGTCTTCAACTCTTCTCGTTATTCGGAGTTTTTTTTGAGAAAAGATCCGACCCTTCAATAAAATGATTGGGTCAACCAAACTAGATGACGAGTGAAATATCATGATCAAGTCGACCAGACTAGATCATAAGTGAATAAAAAAATAAAAAATGTGCATTGTTGCTCGAGCCATTTATATCTGGAATGATGCGTTTATAATTTTTGTAAAATTATAAAAATAATGATAAATGTTTTAATTGAAACTAAGAGAGCCATGTGCCCACTCTCAATTTTTTTGAAAATTATATTTTTACCTCTAATTAATTTTTTTTTATTTAACTCCCTTTTAATTTTTAAAAATGTTTCTAAATCTTTATATCTCCTCTTTCTTTTCTCTTTGTTTTTGAGAATGCAATACGGTCAACTGAGAATGAGTCGGACTGATCCACGTGCTCTACTGTCCTGCTGGCCTTCATCTCCTTGGGGCACCCCTGCAAAAAGGCCCAATGGGAAGGTATCAAAACTGGAGTGGTTCCTCCCCGTGAGCTCTTCGATGGTTAAGTTAGACAGGAGGTGATCGAAAGAAGGATGAGTAGAGAAAGTTAAGAGTCGAAAGAGAAAGGAAGAGAATATAGAGAGCATTACTTGTTACCAAACATACTTCAGAAGCTTCCTTATATCACTTACTAATCATTTCATTGTCCATTCCAATGTCCATTCCAATCTGTCTTATTGGCCGAAAGCCTATAGCCTAATTGCCATCGTTTGCAGTGATTTTGCATACTCCAGTGTGAAGGGTCTTGCTGCATTTAATGCTATAATAGCCTCATTTAATGGTTAATGTGCGGGTTCAATAACTCTGT